ATCTCCTTCTTCTTCTCTCTCTCTCTCTCTCTCTCTCTCTCTCTCTCTCTCTCCGTCTCCCTTTAACCCAACACAAAAAACTCACTATACAATCGAAATCGAACAGTGGCTCTGCCATTTCAGTGGCCAGCCTTTAAGTAACGCGATGCATTTTAGCGAGCGATAAAGTTAAAGGAAAGCAAGATGGTGCACGGTAGCCGGTCAACCGTAATATTTTCTTTTATCTTCTTTTCATCTCGCCACACAGCCAGTGGAAAAAGTAATATTGTCCCGTGGAAAGCTATACCGGCGCGCCTGTGAAAATTCGATAAAACAAACTGCACCGCGATACAAACTGGTTTCGATCTGCGCGACGAAAGATAGATCTCTTGGTTGGACAAGTTATACGTTCGACGCGTTACAGGGTTAGGACGTGGCAGCCATCAAAGTTTCGCGACGTGAAATCGCCGTGGGAACGTCGGCCCGATCGAATCGGTAACCGTGAAATTCGCACGACAGATTTCCTCCCGAGACTCGAGCGGAAAATGTTCCCTTAGATCGGGCGTCGGCTTCGGGATCGATAAAAACCCTGACCTCGATGCATACAGGGGGGAATCTAGCATTGACTCGGCCGACGCGACCCATCCAATGCGCGGGAACACGCTAAGCCTGTAAAATATTGCTGTAAACCTTATCGAATCTTTTCTCGGTTTCGAAGAAGAAATAAGCGGGGATGAGAAAGGGTAACTTTGATGAGATTGTTGATTTTTTTTTACACTAAATTTGTATAGGTATATAGGTGTATTTGAGTACATAGAAAGCATTAGATTGAGTAGTTAGTTTTTTGTGTGAAATTTAATGTTAAATGCTAGAAGTTATATTATTTATTTAAAATGAATATTAATTTTCGTTAAAAAAGAAATTTAATTGTATATAACGTAGATTGTTAATTTGTGATGAATAGTTGTGATGAATAGTATAGTTAGAGAGGAAAAAGAAGAATGATATATTGAATGACGTTATGTATTAATCTTATATCATAATTTCAATCATTTGTAAATAAAATTATATTATAAGTAAAAAAGGGGAAAATCTTAGATTTTTAACAGTATCATTTATCGTCCATTGTATAAATTCATTTCCATGTTTCTCTAAAATATGTCTATATTTGTATGGAATTAAATTATAGCACAACAAATAATATAAGACAATATAACTTCATATAATATTCTATTCTGTGCTCAGATAATATTATCTCTTTGTATTTAGAAATTAGTTTACGTTACGTATTATTAAACGATAATTCATATTGCTTCTCTTTGTATTTAGATATTAATTTATGTTATTAAACGAGCGATAATATAAATGGAAAATAGACAAGTAATAAGATTGATTAATACGTTTTTATTTTTGTACGAAAAAATATAATAAGACTATTTTATTCTACTTATTTGATCAATGATCGATCTACTCTACTTGATATTTTTATTTTTTATTCTTTTATTTATTGATCTATTCTTGTTTAACCTCGATACTGACAAAATGATAATTTAATATTAGCAATGGAGAAGTTTTATCATCAGTTTTATCACTGTCAATCTTAATCTACTTGTCTGGCAATAATGACATCCTTTTACTTGTCTGATCAATTATTGATCCATACTTGGTCAATCGCAACATAATAATTTGACATTAGCAATTGGAGAAAAGATTTTATGATTATAAACGTATTTCTTTTTATATTTATTTTTGATACGAAATGGAAATATGAACACAAATAATTATTAAAATAATAATATTAGTTTTGACTTTTTAATGAAAATTCTATTAATTATACATTAAAAAATAGATGAAAATTAAATAGTTTTTTATTTTTCTTTTCTAATTAATATAAAACTATTTATAACATCCCATTAATATCTTTTAAATATTTAATGTAATTAAAATTGCAGTCAAATATATAAAAAAATATATTTATATATTCGAAAAATTCCAAAATCGAAAACTTTTTAAGATCACATTGATATTAGAAATAAAGTTCAATTATTTTTCATTTATTATTAGTGGCTTCGTAGAATATTGCAAATTAGAACAAACAATCGCATAATTTTGCAATCAAACTTTCCATGCAAATCGGATCTTTCGAAAACCGAAAATATATTTGGCGCGAAAGAGTCCTTAATAAGTAAATACATATTCATGTTGTGATGGCCGTTGAGGTGGATCGAGGAACTAATTACAAGTTGATAGAGAAACGTCCGCGATAAGGTCTAGAAACTAGATGAAACTTTTGACGAATTCTATATTCATAGCATAAATAATTTATGGATAATCCATCGTATTCAAGTAATAATAAATTCTCTACGTAACGACAAATTGTGAAACTCATATCGTCGACGATTAATTACTTTTTGTTATTTCTAACAAACTTTTTTTTATTTTTCGATTTAATACAAGGATTAAGATTGAGTAGAAAAAATAAAAATTTTCTTTTCTTTTCATTGTTATCATCCTGAAAAATATTTATTAAAAATTTATTATCAAAAAGGATTTATTTAACATGGTTTTTTATACATTATTAATAGCGTAATCAATAAATTAAATGCTTTTTTATCTTTTTTATTAAAATGTTGTTGATATTATAATTTTATTATAATATTATAATTTTGAAGGAATTTAAGGATACACAATTTTTATAATCAGTTCGATATAAATCTATGTATCATAATATTCTGACTGATAAATTCAATTTTCAACGATGATTTCCAACTAAATTTCATAAACACCATTCACAATTATGATGTTATGATAACATATTAAAAAATTATCGAAAGTGGCTTATTGTAATTAAATAATTACTAAGTATTTTCTAAACGAGACAATAAATAAAAATACAAAGAACAACGATAATAATATTATTTATAAAAGGGCTTAAAAATCGTATCACTGATCACCATGACAAATACATTTGATCAAAAGAAGATGAGAGGACGCGGACTCTATTTATCCGAGATAGAAATGAAAAAAGGGTGTATTAAGGGTAGAGTTCCCGAAACAAATGGTGGAGCTTTCGAGCTTTCTGTATAAGAATCGACAAGAAACGTGTGCCGCTTACTCGTCGCTTGATTTATACCTGTTCATAAGAATTCAGACACGCTTTATGTATCTCCGTCATATCGATTCTTTCCCGTATTTATCTTCCTTGCATGAAATTAGTTAACTAAGCGAAATCTCGTATGATAAAATAACCTCGAGTTTACGTTTATCGAGGGTTCGTTTTTGAATTAACAGGATGTATTATTTTCGAAACGTGTTTCCTATAACATTCTCTCTCTTTCTCTCTTTTTCTTTTTCGTTCCTCGATACACGTTTTATGTTTTATGTATGGAACCATTTTTATATCGAGCCATAAAATCGATCGAAACTGTCCGTAAAATCTATATCACTTTTCATGCATACGAATATACAATGCGATCTTGATGAAAAAAACATTTGCATTTATTATGCTTAATTTTAACGAAGTTATGAATCTTTGTAGAATATTAAAAGTTTATAAATTCATTGTTCATAATGATTCTGATTGGACTCTGTGTGTTTAAAAGGTGTTTAAAATAGTCTAGAATATTTGTAAGAGAAAATAAGTTCTCGAGTTTTTCTTTTTCAAATTATAAATAATTTAATTTTTCACTGAATGGGATGATGATAGAGTGAAACAACATTTTCCAGTTGTCTATTCTGTTCTTCTCTT